AGGAAGGTGTTGTTTCGACAGAGGAAATCGTGAATTCTTCCACAAACTCGACGCTACACGGGCCATCGTGAAAATATCTCCAAGTTCCTGAGGATTAAGGGTAAAATACTTTTTTTTACCTGTGATGGCATATACTATACTAGGCTACAGAAATCTTTAGACGATTTTCCCTCTATCAAATAACACACTGGCTGAACATTTGCCCCATTGTGCGCCATCTGTGGTGGTCTAACGATGTCTCTTCTTACTACAGAATTAGCATTACATTATAGCAGGGTAGAAGTGTTTTTTTTTTATTTTAAATTACATACTTACGTATCAATTTATTACTTTCTACCTCATTCCTAAACTCCGCTCGAGTGATACTATGGCCACAGTATAAATATCATACAGTATTGTAACTCGGCCGCTTGAAAGAAATAAATACCTACAGCCGCGCGGTACGTAAACATGCGATAGGGCTGCTCGTCTCCAGTATTTTAATTACCTTTGACTTTCTGTTTCCATTTAGTTTTGTGATTGTAAATATCCATTTTTATATAAACAAATAAAGTGCTTTAAAAATAAACAAACAAAATTTCTTTGCCCACTAATGCCGAACTGAACAGCTGACTACGAAGTTCTAAAATCACAACCCTCAAACATCAAAATATTACATGAGTCTAGCTGTTTTATTGTTGTTATTAAATATTTTTTAGTATTATTCATAAACGCAGATAATAAACAAATATTATTAATAATAAAATACCACACTCTCTACTTTGAATTATACAAACTAACAAAACATACTTGAAACGTTTTAACACAAGCGTAAGTAGGTAGGTACCTAACGTATCATGATTCATTCAGAACCAGAACCGCCTATAACTACCTATTTCACTCGTCTCAATAACTTTATTCATATTATTTATAAATTCAAAAATCTGTTTTCGTGAGATAACTGGAAATAATGATCCATAAAGACACACATTATGTACCTACCTAGGCCACTAGTAAGTAAAATTATTTTATAGTCTTACCTTTCAGAGTTTCCAGGTAATTTAAAAAAAACTTATGTCTGGATGCGTTATTGACGAATTCATGCAACCAAACATAATAACAGCACAGACTATACGTCGAGCTGATTTCTAAATAAAAGACAACACACCGTCCGTTCCTCACTGCGGTACAGCCGCGTCTGTCTGCGTCCCGAGCGCGTCCCGACATCGGGCGCGTAGGTATAGTTCGCGTTTCGGCCGTTTCTATGAAGTTGAAATACTTGTAGATATTATTACCTTGCTATGGCCTCGCAGAAAACAGGCATCGGACGACACAGCGTTGTATTTCGCAGCATGAGTGAGGTTCCAGAGTCCTATCCTTCCTCATCGCCCCATTTCCTAACTTTCAGAATCCTTACCCAAAAAGACCTGCTACGTACTCTGGTATTGCGACTATCCATGCTCGAACCCGATAGCTTACCACCAGGTCCTGGTAATCAGACTGCTTTGCCATCTTATCAGATAAAGAAAAAACATTGGTTGCGAATCCAATGGTCTTTTAATCGTCTTGAGCTGTAGTGTGAAATAGGTAATATTATTTCGATACATACTGTTTAATCCCTTGCAGTTTTCATAGACCATTTCACAAAATGATTTAAAAGTTCTCTTTACCGCGAATTCCACTGAGCAGATTTCCGTGTTATTCCTTAAACAGAATAATTATTGTCGCTGTATAAGTTTTATTGGAAATGTAACCATGATGATTTTTTTCGTTTCTTAGGTCTACGGGTATCTTTGGGGTCACGGGTGCATAGAAAAGGGACTCTGGGTACTCATTCAGTGGTCCCAGAGAAGACGGTGGTACAGTGGTCACGTACCGCCGTACACAGCGAGGCTCGTGCTCGAGGGATGTGCCGTCACAGGCGTTTCATCGTGGGGGTTCCGGAGTAGGTCTCTTGTAGAGGACCCGGTGCCCCTTACAGGTGACGAGGGTGGCCACCGGGGTGGTTTTAGTGAGGTAAAAATCCCACACTCCCTAGTCTTTCTCCCCAAAAAAGCTAGGCGACTTTTGAAGGTTTCCCCCCGTTACAAAAAAAAGGTCTACGGGTATAAGTTTTTACTAACACAAACCTAATTTAGCTCCAAAATTCCCTTATTATAACACAAAGATTATCTTCAGTCTAGGTATAAACCATTGAGTAAGATTTTGGAATTTTGAATTTTATGATCACCTACCTACCAAATTTGAAATACAAAAACTGACTCAATGGTTTAGACCTGGACTAAAGGAATACCTTGTTTTGTAATAAGGCTGTAAATATTTAACCTTTTTCTTAAAACCGCTGGTTTTAGTGTACATTTGATGCGTTACTACGTGACCGACGGTTTTTTGAACAAAACATACTTTAATTATTATGTTTTCGGCTTACTCACGTAATAATTTGACGAGATACTCGACTTCAAGTCATGTTAGAGGCCCATATTTATGAGCATAATAATTAATTTAGAATGTCTCACGAAAGTTATAATAAAAACATACTTTCGCTGATCCCCATATTAACTTTTTTACTACATCTAGACGTCACTACTCCTAAACAGAGAATCGATTTATAAAAATTCTTACCGTTGCCTCTCAAAAGTCATACATAAACTGTATGAATTCAAACAGTCTTCATAAATTAATTCCTGGTAAGATCGATTTTTCAAAATGTGTATCAAATCTGGGGGTAAGGTCCTTTCGTCGGCGCCCGCAGTCGGGAAAGTGTGATAGTAGTTTTGAAATCCCACTGCTAGTACAGACACTGAAAACATAGAGAGGCTTTCTAATAATTATTTCTGTAACGTTCTATCTACGAGAGAGCCATGGTTAGGCACGAATGGGTCGACTCGACCAGAGTGATACCACGGCTTCACAGACAATCGGCGTGAAACAACCAGAGCGTTGTATTTCGCCGCGTGAGCTCCCCAAAAGGTCGGCAACGCACTCAAAACTATTTCGTTGTTGCGGGTGTCCATGGGTGGCGCTGATTGCTTACCGTCAGGGAATCGATATACCATATATACCATACGTAATAAAAAAGTGGAAAAAGATTCGATAACAGCACAAAACAATTTTATTATTTGTGTAATGTCAAAATTGTTGTTTCTTTGGATTCCACAATATTGAAAAAAATACTAAAGAAGGCAACAAAAACCTTAGAGCAACAAATTAATTTTATGTGTTTTGCTATTTTGAAAAATAAATAACGGTCGTCTTTGCCCAAATGCCATAACGCCCGATCATCATGCTAAGCCTGGGAAGTATTTACAAGTGAGACAGACTTCTCCTGAATTATATGATATATAATTTTGACTCCTATAGCATAATTATGTGGAAGAAAAACATCGTGTGGCAACCTAATATTGCACATTCTAATTGACTATAAGTTTGAAATTGTCGTGGTCTATTTGAACGCGAACTAACTAATATACATACAGACTTAGGCTGCCTGTGCTAGGATGATAGCTGGCCCAAGCTCATGCCCGCAGATTTGCGCTCTAGGAGGTCTTACCCGATCGTTTTCTATATACCTAAGAAAAACCTTAGGAGCAGGTTGAGTGTGGGAGAGCCAAGCTTCGGCGTGAATGGGTCGTCTCCAGAGTGATACTACGGCCTCGCAGAAAACCGGCGATAAAAAACCACAGCGTTGTGTTTCGCCGTGTGGGTGAGGTTACCGGAGGCCCAATCCCTCCCCAGCGCTAATTACTTCCCAATCCTTGAATATCCTATCCTTTATCCCTAAAAGGCCAGCAACGCACTCGACAACAACTCCTTTGATTTTAAGGGTGTCCATGAGCGGCGCTGATTGCTTACCATCAGGTAATCCGTCAGCTCGTGTGCCGACTTATACGAGTTCCATAAAAAAAAACTTATGGGCGGATGATGACGATGATGATTATAATTAATCTAATATATACTTACCAATAAATAGACTAATCAATTTAGCAATTTTATTCATATTCCGAATAAATATTGTTCACGAGGCTAAAATTCTGTACTAATTTAGAGGCGTCTTACTAAGTGCAATTAAAAATTAATGAGTCATTAATTAACTTCAATGATGTTAGAATTAAGGAGGTAGTGGAATTAATTGATTTGAACTCTAATGTAATTTCCAATCAAAATGTAAGTATCATTAATTTCTTGTTTTTTTTCTCGAAGGAGTTTTAGGGTATAGTTTTTTACGGGTTTTCATTTCAGTTTTTTTTTCGAGGTCTCAATCGCTCAATGCAATTGAATGTGCACAAGGTGTTTTTTTTAGTTATTACAAAATTGGATATTAATCACTCTATCTTTAAGAAAAGCGCATCAAAATCCATTGCATAGATGCATACCCAGAGATATAGGGACAGAGAATGCGATTTTTTTAATACTATGTATTTATCTAAGTGTGCACGTATGGGTTGGCTCGACCGGAGTAACACCACGGCCTCACAGAAAACCGGCGTGAAACAACCACAGCGTTGTGTTTCGCCGTGTGAGTGAGGTTACTGGAGGCCCGATCCTTCCCTTTCCCTTATCCCCAAATCTCGAAATCCTTAAAAGGCCTGCAACGCAATCGTAACTCTTCGGTTGTTGCGGGTGTCCATGGGCGGCGCTGTTTGCTGACCATCAGGTAATCTGTTTGCTCGTTTGCCGACCTATTATAAAAGAAAAAAAAAATCTTCATTGTACTCATAACATGGTATGTAAATACACGTTATCATAGCTTGTTAGTAGTAAGCTGTTTTATTTTTTGCTAATCAGCAGATATTTATTAGTTGTATTTCCTCATGTTCGGTTTGTAACTTTTTTTATTTCGAACATCAGGACCTTTTTTCTGATTACGTTCCTCAGTTATTTTTTTGTCCGAGAATTTTCTGAGTCACGTTTAACGCCTTTTTGATATGTTTGTCATACGCAGCTGACACTCAATTTCCGATTATTACCCAAACACAAAAGAACGTCTGTATTCCAAAAAAATAAATAATAAATACAAACGACCGAATAATATATTTATTTCTCTTTAACAATTTATTTTAGAAAAAAAAATCTTATAGCTACACAATCGAAATAAGGCTTCATATCAAATATTAGTACTCTACGTTTTGGGCTCATAAAAACGTATAGTACAATATTATTTTACAAGTAATAATAATAATATAGCATATCTACAGATATTTACAAGAAAAATTATCAACTAACAACTCGAAATTAAAGGAACTTTGTACACCGTTATGATTAATAAATTGACACTAGAGTTCTTAAATGCTTTGCATTTCAACACTTATAGGCTCCTGCTATTTACAACAAGCCTTTAGTCAGAAAATCTGAGAGCATTGCGAGGTCTTCGTGTTCGCTGTGACAGTGTGTTCCAACTGCGCGAGTGCCGTCAGCTCTGTGTCCATTTTCCGACTCTTTATCCTCGTATTCTTTGTCAGCGGTCGCTTCTTACAGCAACACAGTATTTCTTCAAACTCTTTACGGAAGTTATCGTTCAGCCATCCGTATAGTAATGGATTCGACACTGCACTGGACATTCCGAACATATGACAGACGGCGTACGTTATTGTCATCGTTTTCTCCTCCATAAACGGCTCGGCACTTAAGTCTGCTACTAAATTGAACACGTTTAGTGGCAGCCAACTTATGACGTATGTCACGGCGATAGCTATCAATATGGCTGGGGTTTTTCTCGTGGTCCGCCGCCTTCCTCTAAGTCTTCTATGAATTTGGACATGTGCAAGAACTACTACTAAGACGGGGAGTAAGTATTGGAAGATGAGACTAAAACCAGAGTAAATGGCTCGTCCATTCTTGATGTGCCAGTCTTCTATGCAGAAACTGAGAGAGTCCATGCCTATGAGACCGAGGTAGTGGGTCTTCAGGCTTCGGAAGATGTAGAGAGGTGAGGCAAGGGTGAAAGCAATCACCCAGATGCAGAACATTGTGACGAGGGCGCCCATCGTCTGAAGACCTGGTCTCGTTGGGTACACGATCAGCTGTAGACAAAGAGAAAAGAGGTTGATGATAATGTTCAAACAGCTTTATAACTTTAGACGGTAAGATTGATATGGCTATAGTTATTAAGAAGACTGTGTTTAAAAGAAGAAAATATAATTAATAAAAAAAAAATTTAACGTTGCCCCATTATACTAGGATTTTCTCCTGTATCGATGGTGCGTTTACAAACATACAATTTTAAATAGACATAACACACAGATCCGGAATAATAATTTGTGGATCACACAAAGAGTTGTTCCGTGCGGGAATCGAACCTGCGACACGTTGCGTGGCAGCAGTATTTGAGAAAAGCTCTCTATTATAATATTTTTCTTACACAACCTCCTGTAGAAAGAAACTATACAAAGAGATAAAAAAACGGATTATGATAATTTTCAACTTAGAAACAGAATGTCCAGATATCTGAATGTATGTATGTATATACTTCTTACGACTATATCGGTGCCTAAAGATTGATAGTAGGCTTAAATTGTTGGATTTGACGGTATTTTATCATATTTCTTGCAGATAATAAATTGTAATTGACAGCAGACCATTTTTTGGAGATTTATGTTGGGAATAAAATACTAAAATAATATATTGTGGTATGTTGGGAATGAAATACTAAAAAAATAATAAGCACTACTTATTTTAGTATTTTGTTTTTATTTAGAGATTTTATAATTCGACATTTTATTCATAATTATGTTTGCGATACATGATCAACAATGGAATCTATTCGAAAAATTCAAAAGTGTTTTTAATTGTGGATTCAGTAGCTTTTGATTTTCTATTTAAGAAATATGAATAAAACGTAACTTCGTAGTGGCCCAGACGGTAAGGCCGCTTGTCACTCATGATGGTACCCTTGTGACTTTTTCCGTGTTGTATGTATGTACTTCTTTCTTATATGATTAGATACTACTGACATACAGTGAATACTGTATAAGTGTGAGAGAGCCACGCTTCGGCACGAATGGGTCGGCTCGACCGGAGTGATACCACGGCCTCACAGATAACCGGCGTGAAACCATCACAGCGTTGTGTTTCGTCGGTGAGTGAGGTTACCGGAGGCCTAATCATTCCGCTCCCCCAATCCCTCCTCAATCCCTAAATCTCCAAATCCCTAATCCCTAAAAGGTCGGCAACGCATTCGTTACTCCTTCGTTGCGCGTGTCCATGGGCGGCGCTGATTGCTTACCATCAGGTAATCCGTCTGCACGTTTGCCGACCTATTAAATTAAAAAAAAAGTGAAGGGAAAAATTTCGAATTGTAAGTTGGAAATCGCCAATTCACCTTGAGCAAACGTGGTCATTATGCTCAAACCTTCTCCGTGTAATAAGATGTCTTTGCTCAGCAGCACATAAAAGCTGATGATGTGATATGTGCGAAAGGAAATATAGAGTATTTGATAGAGTGTACAAAAAGAGTTTATAGAAATCTAAACAATAATGTACTGAGCCGTTATCAATGCAATGTGAGGACTAAGTTCATTACTTTCCTCTCATAGTAGATAACATAGCTGATAAGGTTTGTTCACGAGAAATCAATATAATCGAACTGAACAGATGTTTTAGCTTGTCTAGATAAATCTGATGCTTCAGGTTATTGTAATGTTAAACGTACATTCACTGTTACAGATATCGATCTGAAGATTTTTTTTATGTAATAAGTCGGCAAACGAGCAGACGGATTACCTGATGGTAAGCAATCAACGCCGCCCATGGACACCCGCAACGGAGGAGTTACGAGTGCGTTGCCGACCTTTTAGGGATTAGGGATTTGGAGATTTAGGGATTGGGGAAGGGTCCGGGAAGGGGAAGGATTGGGCCTCCGGTAACCTCACTCACACGGCGAAACACAACGCTGTGGTTGTTTCACGCCGGTTTTCTGTGAGGCCGTGGTATCACTCCGGTCGAGCCGAACCATTTGTGCCGAAGCATGGCTCTCCCACACTTAAATTTTGACAATGATGATGTTTAGTCGGCCTAAGTTAAGCGTTAGACAGCCATTTTTCGGCATGAATAGGCTGGCTAGATCTACGATAAACTGCGATGGTATTTAGTGTTTCTGTTTGAGTGACATTACCAGAGGCTCCATCCTCTTATCAGGTCTCCGATCTCCAAATGCTAATCATAATATTTATTGCCTTTAAACGTGGTATGACAACAACAACAACAACAAACAAGGTTTTACAAAATAGTATTACTGAGTATAATCAGTAGTAATAAAAAGTACAGCACGTTTCGTTCATTGATTGTTGTATATTTACCTACATGCAAAATTTAGCAAATCCAGTGGCTTCTTGTTTGCCGTCCTAAGCTATGAAAAAGACATACTTATTATAGTGTTGTGCAAGTCCAACAAAAAAAGGGGACTCAGATCTTAAATTCTACATTCATTGACATACGAATTATGTCAGGATATTTTTTTCTTATTTGACCAAAAACAGTAAAGAATGGGTTAGAACAACGAATTTAGATGAATTCTGATAAGAAATTCAAGTGGGGGAATATCGATTTGGACGCTTTGCACTTGTGAATTATGGAACAGCTTGAAGTTATATAAGGCGTACTTTCAGAAGTAAAAGTTTTCGTTTCTAAAATGTAGGAGTGCCATATCATCAGAATGCTGGTGGAATGATGAAGGTACAATATATTTTTACAAGTAAATGAGGCACAATCCTTCTGAACATCCCCAAATACCAAATCCTCAAATCCCTGTCACCTGACCAAAAGGCCACAGAGTATTTTTGGTGCTGCAAATGTCCATAGGTGATTTGTCAGCTTGACTGTTACAATTAAAAACAATATAATATTACTTTGGGGTAGTTAAAAGTTATCATTAAAGATTTATTAATAGTGTGGGAGAGCCATGCTTCGGCAAGAATGAGTCGGCTCGACCGGAGTAATACCACGACCTCACGAAAACCGGCGAGAAACAATCACCGCGATATGTTTCGCCGTGTGAGTGAGGTTACCGGAGACCCAATCCTACCCCTACCCCAATCCCAGTGCGTTGCCGACCAAAAGGTCGGCACTCGTGACTCCTCCAATGTTGTGGGTCTGCATGGGCGACACTGATTGCTTATCATCAGGTAATCCATATGCTAGTTAGCTGACTTATCACATAAAAAAGTTTTGGTCTGCATTACTGCAAAAAATTTAAGAATATATTAAATAGGAAAACCCACAGATAAATCTATACCAAAATTATAAAGCAGACGAGTGTGTTTATTTAGATAAGCGTTTTGGAATCACTCGTTTGAATTGAAGAGTTATTGAGTTTCGGTAGTCCATTTATTGAGGAAAGCTATTGGCTACTAAGCGTCATGTAAAGAGAATTTGAAATCAAAAAGTGGGTGAAAATGGCTAGTAACTGCTAAAAATAAACCACATCTATAGACTTATTTTCCACTGTCAATTTAATTATTCTTTCAAAGAAAATAGAACCTGTTTATATGGCGAAAATTGGGTCAATATAAATCACAGCAGATAACATCTCTGTTTTCTTCCTTTGGGGAATACTGATCGTGTGGTTAATTATGAAACCAAAGCTCATGTTATGACCCCTGAGAATTATAACTACCTAGCACACTTCCTATTCGACTAATGATAATATTTTTCCTTATTTACGGGAAATAGTAATGCAGTATTTATGTTAGTCTTTGTAACTTCATAAATAGTGGTTGTTAAAGACACCAATAGTACTACTACATAGATCTCCCTTACATTTAATTGTATTAAAATCAAGGTATTGGGTCCTTTGTATATTGGATAACGCATCATACACACACACATTTTTCCACATAATGCCACAAATACTTAGAATTATAGCTACTCTCACGCGGTTTCGCCCTTTGCTCTACTCCTGCAGATTCTAGCGTGATGTTTTATAGCCTATAACCTTCCTTGATAAATGGACTAACAAAGAAAAAAGAATTGTTCAATTCGAATCAGTAGTGTTCCGGAGATTAGTGCGTTGAAACAAACAAACTCTTCAGCTTTACAATATTAATGCAATATAGATTTACTCGAGTAAGGTGCAATGTGTGTTCCATGTATTAAGAGAAGGGTCTACTTCTATTGTATCCTCCGTCCTATTACTGAGAAAGTTTCTGAAAACCGAAACAATCCCAATAACTTTCACACGACTCAAAATTCAAACTCGACATCTTTCTTGGCAATCACACTCGTGACAAATTAACCAAAGAGGCACTTTATTAATTATTTATTTACCTATTTGGACTTCCAACAGAGAAAACACTTTAAATGCCAGACAATATTCATAACAAAATATTTTCTTGTGCTTCTCCACTTATAAGAAGCCACAGCATGCAAATATAATGTAACAGCATGAATACAAATACAAATTTAAAATGATGTAAGTATTAAATTAAATTTTAACACTACGCTATATTAAGTCTAATAACAAGAAATGAGATCAAAATTATATAAAACAAAGTTTTTTTAAAGTAGCTAATCAAAGCATAATCCTTTCAAACATAAAGCATAAGCCAATCAAATAGTAAAATTTGTCAAAATAAAAATAAAAATAAAATATATTAATAACAAGCATTTTCTGAATTATAAAAATAAATGATAATGATAATGATATGAATATGAAATGAAGTCAACATTAAACAAATTGAGAATAGTCTAAAAAGAAATGAGTTCTAAAAAGAAATCAGTTGACCTTGGAAAACAAATCTGTTCTCAAATACTGTTCCTGAAACATCGTCTTCTACATGGGAGCTATTAGATAAAAAGTCTGATACAATATTAAATAAATAACTACGCATCTCTGCCTTTCCTTCCAAGAAATATACAGCGTACGTCATGTGAATCGAAGAACCAGGCACGTTACACACAATCATCCTTTTGAAGTTTGCTTAGATCCAATTACGCGTGTTTGAGCGTATTTGAAATGCTAATAAACTGCAAATATTAACGATTTCTGTACATTTCATTACTTCACATAATATTATGTTGATAAAGCGGCAAACGAGCAAACGGTATACCTGATGGCAATTGGCAAAGCCCATATTAACTTGCAAGATCAGAAGACCTATGAGCGCGTTGTTCTTGTTTTTGGGAGTTACTTATTTAGGTTAGTCACTACCTCGTGCAGGAGGCCTGGATAGCCTAGACAACACGAGTGTAGGGCTGCAAAAGAATTTGGATTCTCGGGCCTACGTGTGGGGAGGTACCGGTGGTTTAAGTCCTCGGTCTTTCCCCAAGTGGAGGAAGTCCATTTTCAGTCAGTAAGAATCTGACACTGCCTCTTGCCTCACCCTATGTGAGAGTAGGTATTTGATGATTTTTTCCCGCAAAAAGAAAGTTCCCCGCAACATTTCTAAACAAAACGCTTGATGTTACCTATATAATAGTATATACAGGGTGTAAAAAGACACTTAACGAAGCCGAAAGCCACGTATTCTACCAATTATTTGGAACATTTTTTCCTTTAAGACCATAGCTGGGACTCCACGGGTTCTCGAGATATTGAAGGTCAAAGATGCATTTTTTATTTTATTGCGCAATCGAATTCTAAGTATTATTACAAAACTTTTTTCCAAACAAACATTACCTAATTTTTCTAAAAAACTTACGCATTTGAAGTTACGAACAGTAATATACGTAATAAATAAATGCAGACCCGCACAAAAACATCGCGCATCTCAGTAGGTAGTATTTTTATTTTACAGATTTGTTTTGTTGTTGCGAAGTAAAATGTCGAACTACGTACTTATCACAGCGTTTTCATGCTAAGCTGTGAACCTACGCACACAATGACACGAGGCCCGTTTGCTTTACATTGCGCGCAATATTTTTTTTTTTTTTTTTGATAACTAAAAATAAAAGTCGTTTCCCAGTGATAATTTTAGCGTAAAGCTACTTAGAACTGCAGTATGCGTAGTTAACGGCTTCGTTAAGTGTTTTTTTACACCCTGTATATGCTTTTCCCAAACTACATTATTTAAAGATTAACTACTAAGCGAGTAAGTTCCAGGAATAAATCTTCCATTCATACCAGTAACAAAATTCCGATACAAATATCCAACGGACTGATTTTCTTAGAGCTTCTCAAACTGACCATTTAACTACACCCGGATCTAAAATACGTTTAAATAATGTTCTTAACGGTTTACGTAAATCGGATTTGATAGAAATAGTGTTGTATGTTCATTATGACGTCACGAGCTCAACTCGAAACCGTCCGCCTAAAGATTTGTTAGAGATCAAAGAAGATGTCGATTGTTTCATGGTCTTAGCGTGAATGAGATGAGAACGATTCACTGATAAAGGTTAAGTATTTTTTCGTGTGGTGACGGCAGATACATCGACCATCTCTACTCTTCTCACGGGTTTTTAAAGTCTTCTAAGGAATATGCCGTGAAGCTCTGGAGGTGAAATGCCCCGCTTCTCATACATAAGGGTTCGAATGCGGATGTGAGTTCGAAACCTGGGAAGTACTTGTGTGACTTTTTCCAAGTTATATGTACTTTGTATGATTATTTAAACACCACTGACATACAGTGAAGGAAAATATCGTTGGTAACTTGGACTTATAATTTCTTATTATATGTTGGAAATCACCAATCCACCAAGAGTAAGCGTGGTAGTATTTTTCTTTTTAAATATACACTTACGTATAGGAGATAGTAGCTGATATAATATCTAGTTGAAAATACATGAATGAATATAGAATTTTCTCTCATTTTCTCTATTATATCATGAATGAAACCTAATAGAATAACAAGATCATCTCGGTTAAGTAGGTTGTTTGATTTTGAACGTAGATACTACTTTATAAAAGGTTTCAATTCAAACGCTTGAATGGGTATTATAAACATAATGTAGATGATTAAAGAGATTCTGCAAATACATAAAATTTTCTCATTCATTATTAAACATAGTTGGAATCGAATGTCGAAAATAATGTTTTACAAGCTTCTGCCTGCGACTTCGTTCGCGTGGAATAGTTACTTCTTACAGATTAATGGTATAAAAACTATTCTATGTCCTTTCTGGAGTTCCAAACTATGTCTATACTAAATATCACAGAAATCGGTTCAGTAGTTTAGGCGTAAAGAAAAGACAGACGTACAGACAGAGTTACTTTCACGTTTATAATATGAGTTTGGATTTTAGGCATCAAAAAGTTAATTTCTGATAATTGAAAATCATATCTAAATAGAAATGTAAATGTTAACTAATAAAAATTATTATGTACAAACTGGAAAAGTGTGGGACAGCCATGCTTCAGTATTCATAGGCCGGTTTGACCGGAATGATACATGAATTTACAGAAAACGGGCGTGAACCTCAGCCTTGTGTAAGTTGTTATAATTGGAAAATAGAACCTGTGGGAGTCCAATTATTGTACAAATTACAGTGCACTATTTAATATTTTGTACGTGTGGCCAAAAACTGGCATGAAAGTAGTATGAGTAAGGTTATCGGAGGCCCAATGCTCTCCGCTCCACACTGTTTCCACAATTTCTAAATACTATTTCTCAATCTCTAAACGTACTTGGAACTCCTTGAATGAGTAAAATATCGGCGGACAAATAGTCCCGCTCTATCCCTTATTTCCAATCCCCTAAATTTTTAATTGCCCTGTTCCCAAAAGACACACACATTCTACCTATAACTACATTAATGTCACAAGTATCTATGTGCGACGACAATTGCATACCATTAGGTGATATATTTGTTCGTTGACCAACCTATGACACAATAAAGGTATATTATCATATGACCTTTGCGAAAAAAAGACACAATATGATATAACACCACTAAGTTTCCAAACAAAATCACATAAAACAAACACAGACACCAATAAAATATTAAACCAACCTGATATCTATCCAGTGCGATAGCTGTAATGGATATCGTTGACACAAATATTGATATGGCTTGGATCGCGCCACACGCTTTGCACAGGCTTGGCCAATCCGGCAAAGGCCAATGTTTAGTCAAAAGTTCCATGAGGGTCAACGGTGTGCCAACACAACAGACCAGGGCATCGGAGACGGCCAGGTTAACGATAAACATGTTTCGGGCAGTTCTCATCACCGGCTTTCTGACTACCTGTAAAGAATTAAAGAAATTGCTTAGTAATTGGTATTTAAAGAGAAGTTACTAACAGGATGGATGATAAAGGCAACTGCTTTTTCACTTTTTTGAATCATCAAATGACTTCTCCCGCTTGGGTGAGGCGAGAGGAGTGTGTGTCTCTTATTGGCTAAAACAGCCCCGTTTCTTCTCCTGCTCTAGGCCGAGGCCACTTCTTATGATATGAAGTCAAAACATAGCAAGTACCAATGTGACATTTTCCGAGTTTTATGTAAGGAAAAACATCGTAAGGAAATCTGGAGTTATTAGATTATAGATAGATTTTTAATATTGTTAGTTTGAGATATCCAATCCGCCTTGAGTAAATGTGGTGAGTAATGTTCAGTGCTTTCTCTGAGAAAAAGCCTAAAGCAGTGAGCACTTATTAGTCTGATGATGAAAACAAGTAAGGGAATAAGAAAGACGTTGTAATTTATAAAACCCCTTTTCATTTCGTTGTGAACATAGAAATTTAACTAAAAATAATTGTTTTAATAAAAGCAGAACTGACTGGAAATTATGATTTGTATTCTCTATACCAAACTCTTTCCTAAAATTAAGTACTTTTTTTACGTTCTTTCTTTGAGCGTGAGATTACTTAATTAGATCTCAAGTTTAAACGATAAATCATAATTGTTACTGTTAGGGCCTGTTTCACAATGTCTGGATAACCACACATATATAACTACATATGAGAGGGTTTTCTTTTATTTAATAGGTCGGCAAACGAGCAGACGCATTACCTGATGGTAAGCAATCAGCGCCGCCCATGGACACTCGCAACGGAGGAGTTACAAGTGCGTTTCCGACCTTTTAGGGATTAGGGATTTGGAGATTTAGGGATTTAGAGATTTAGGGAGGGGAAGGATTGGGCCTCCGGTAACCTCACTCATACGGCGAAACACAACGCTGTGGCTATTTCACGCCGGTTTTCTGTGACGCCATGGTATCACTCCGGTCGAGCCGACCCATTCGTGCCGAAGCTTGGCTCTCCCACACTTAAATGTGGGTGATGAATGATCTTATCGAATTATACTTCTATAGAAAAAGTAGTCATACATTTTATGAAAAATATTTGTGCAATGATTTTAAGAATTTTAACAAACCTTTTTTTTAATAAAAGAATATCTTTATTATCATTGTCGTTAAAAAAATCTCCTTACCTACCCTACACAAACAGAGTTCCATAAAAATATCGATAGGAATTTTCAAACGTTCCAATAAATACATTGGTTGAAACATCGTGTCATTGTTAGTATCATAAAATTGTATTCAACTAGTATTCCGCCTGCGGTTTGGCCTGCATAGATATTAGGAAATTTCTTTGGAACATTACTTGACCAAAATAATAATAATTATAGCTTAAGAAACGAAACTTTACAGTGATAGACAAAACTTTTACAAAAGTTTTTTGCATATTGATTGATGTTTTATGTTTTTGAGTTTTTTATTAATAGAATAGGAGGAAAACGAGCAGACAGATGATGGTAAATGATCAGCGCCACCAAAGTCCAAGACCAGAAGAGTCACAGGTCTTCTTAAAGGTTTAGAGGTCGTATCAGTGAGAAAAATACCAGTGTCAAAAGATCATTCCAAAATTTTACTGTGCGAGGCAGAAAATATTGTTTGCCAACCCTCTATTTAAGGGATTAAAGTGTAGTCGCGTAGTCTTACACCGAAAAGATGCGATAAAAATCAAGCCGAACCGAGCAATGCCTAGGAGAGCTCTTCGTGGTATTAGTGAAAGAAAACGCAAAGGTAGTCTACATTTATTTCAAATGGCTGTATTATAATATTTATAAAGTATTCTGTAAATTTGTAAAAACATCATGGCATTGAGTATAAACTAGTTGGACATGGTGTTGATTTTAAGTAAATAAATATCGTCAACAACTTGATCTCTATTAATAATGCTTTCACATCATCAGCCTATAAGTTCCGGGGTTGTGGGGTAAGGGCCATGTGGCACCGCAGCCTCGGCCAAAAACAGGAGAAGGAACGGAGGTTTTATTCAGTAAGAATCTGACAATCTCTCTCGCCTTACCCTGGGCGGGAGAAGACATTTGATGATTTTCCCCTGACAAAAAAAAGTGCTGAGCAAAGGCCTCTTATCACACGGAGTAGGTTTGAGCATTGATCACCACGCTTGCTCAATACGGATTGGCGATTTCAAACATAAGTTTGAAATCGTAATTAGAAGTCCATGTTTCCTTACAATGTTTTCCTTCACAATTTGTTGTCCATACACTCTTAAAATTTATGTGACTCGGAAAAAAACAAGCCGTCATTCTGTGAGAGAGATACATTGAAATCAATACGTAGAGTGTTTTAGTACTTTTATCAGTATTTTATTGCATGTTCTGTTTTCAGATAAATCATGTATACCTACATGTATTGTTACAAATGCTATTTTATCAATGTCACTTACATTCTCTTATTTATTGTAATCCCTGTTAATGTTTTTACCAATCTGTTTTTTTCAATCAATCTTTTAAAGATAATATTTGTCTTTTTATGTCAGTTTTATTTTTGGGAAATGCTGTATCTGTGTAATGTTGTGAATTTGATAATGTATATTAAAACTACTCAATATCACTGGGTTATTGGTTTTTTTTTGAGAAGGTCATAAAATTCGTTCTAAACAGCATAAAGTTGGTCACGTCGGTCGCCGATCGGATCCCCCTTCCTGTTCCTGCTCTAAGCCAACGCTGCGGTACTGTATTGCTCTTCCCCGCAAACTTAAGATTGTAAGCTTTGATATTAATCTAATTATAATAAAAGACAAATTGATGGGCAGAAAAATTATATCGACCAGAATTAATAATTAAACTTCCTTGTACATTAACTTACCTAACTTAACTAGTATAGTCACGTGGGTATTATGAGAGTGGAAAAAATGTGTAGGTAGGTGACGAAATAATTATGAAGTATAAGTATGCAAGAATGCGGCAAATTAATGGTCAAAACACCTGATGGAAAGCAATTGGGGCCGTCTATGGGCATGAGACACTAGGAGTTCTAAGTGTGTTTCCATTTTTGGGGATTAGAGACTTAGGATTTAGGAACACTGTTAAACCGATGGGTCTTAATTATATATTGTCTTTTAAAAAACAAGTAAGTTACATCTACACCTAGTAAAATATGGTCTAAATAAGATTGATAGAATTCTACATTCTAAACATTAATTTCTCTACCTGAATATCTTTCTCATCATTATGTTTATTAATTGCATTTTTCATGGACCAAACTAAATAATTTCAAACATTTTCATTATGGCAGTGTTTTTTAATTAAATACCTTCCATGTTGATATAATGCCTAACAAAACAAAATGTTTGTACTTTCAAAAGTATTTGTCATTTTGGAATTACAAAATGTGTTTTGTTCTGGATCATTTACGGGGCAGAAATGTTTTGTAACTCAACAAGAAACTACGCGTAACGCCCTCTTGGTTTTTACGTGTTTACTGTATAAGGATCCTGCATTGTCTTTGTCAAGTCAGTTCTTTTATAATTGTCACCGATTTCTTTGATAAAAATGTCTTGTGGAACTCGTTTTGTACTAGTATTTTCTTCTGTTCTGTAATTGAGTTTATAAACGTACAATTTAACGCACTATCACACAAAACACAAAGTGTGTCTGAACGATGCTTCGGCACGACCGGAGTGACATCACGGCCTCACAGAAAACTGGCGCGAAATAACCATAGCGTGGTGTTTCGCCGTGTGAGTGAGGTTACCGGAGGCCCCATCCTTCCCCTACAGCAAATCTTTTCCCAAAACCCTAATTCCCAAAAAGTCGGCAAGCACTCGTAACTCCTCTATTGTTGCAGTTGTTCATGGGCGGCGCTGATTGCTTATCATCAGGTAATACGCCTGCTCGTTTACTGTCCTAGGGTTAGGTCCTATATAAAATTCTATAAAATGAAAAAAAAAAACACAAAATGTTGTTCCGTACGGCCATGAAACCTGTGACATTTAACATAACGGATAATTGCCCATCCAATAATAACCTAATAATTGAGCCTGGCTTGTGATTAGAATTCAGCAAACTAAATAAATCCATTAATATATATCAGTATCTTTACTAATAAACTAGCAGAAAATATTGTAACCAACTTCTAATAATCTAATGTTATTGTGTCCGAAATCGTTTCATCTCAATAAACCATAGCTTCTACCAATATTTATGTTTCACACCACGCCCGAACCGCATCGCTAGCAAAAATATAGTTATAAAGGTTTGGTATAACAGAAAGCGAGCGAGAATTTTTGTCTTTTTTTAAACGTGATGTTGCTCCCTATAATTATGTTTTTTTCTTGATAAAATCAATACTTCACACACTACACTGCTACACTACACAGTATAAAACAAATACGCTTTTTGTGTCCCTAAATCTCTAAATATGCTTAAATCTTTATAACTACGCAGCAGATTTTGGTGCGGTTTTTTCGAATAGATAGGGTGAACATTTTATATGTATATTGACTTCCATTAAATAGCGTAGAAAGTTAGTATCAGCATTGCCCCTGTGCAAAGGCGGCGTATAAAATAAAACCGTCAAAACCACGGAACATATTTATTAGGCTGTTTTGTTTATTATCACTGAACATTCTATTCTTATTTTCACTAAGAATTTATGTGATGTGTGGGAGAGCCATGCTTCGGCACGAATGGGTCGGCTCGACCGGAGTGATACCACGACCTCACAGAATACCGGCGTGAGTGAGGTTACCGGAGGCCCAATCCTTCCCCTTCCCCTTCCCCTATTCCTTCCCAATCCTTATATCCACAACCCCCCCGAAAGGCCGGCAACGCACTCGTAACTCCTTTGGTGTTGCGGGTGTCCATAGGCGGCGTCGATTGTTTACCATCAGGTTATCCGTCCGCTCGTTTGCCGACTTATACCATAAAAAAAAGTGATGTGAGTAAGGTCTAACAACATTTTTCTGTCTTTATTTATCATTATAAGATGTTAGGCATCGTGCAATCGTGGTCAGGTCATCGAATACTAAGAGGAATGGTACTTACTAGTCTTTTGGAAGTTGATTGCATTTCATTGCATTGAAAATAGGCGACCGATGTTCAATTTTATGAAATGAATTTACTGTGGTTTATTATAAACAATCTTTTGTAAAAAGTTACCTATCAATAAATTTTATTTTATTTATTTATTTATTTTTACTCGCTCATTTAAGCTAGCGGTGTAACCTCTACCTTATCCCGATATCGGAAAAACGCAAGCGATATTTGCAGTGTTTGTGTTATTTCTACCCTTTTTTATTTCCTTGTTTTTCTATTTATTTTTGTCGTTTGCGGTTTTTAATATGAAATCCTATTGAATTCCACCTATTGCAATTTAAAATAAAAATAAACAACTCAAAAACCTATCTTACTCTAGGAGAATTAACGTAATGGTTTTTTATCAACAATACGTCTTCAGTTTTAGCCAATAAAAAACACTTTAAATAGACTTGCTTTTGTGATGATAATATTATCATGTTTTAGTAAGTTTTGTAAGTAGATAAAGCTACATTTCTCTAGGTATTACTTACCCAAAAACTTAGAATTAATGTGATTTTAATTCTGAACTATTTGCGTCATGTAACACAGAATATTCTGTTAAATATTTATTTATGTAACAAATCTATTCCCAAGACACATTGAACTAATAACTGGCGAGAAATATATGTGATAAACAACTGGCAACAGAAGGCGGTCAAGGAAAACATGGGTCATGTAACATTATTTTTTACGTTTCGGGTCACTTAACATCCAGTTTGCTCAAAGCTAGAAAAACGATGGTAATAATGGAATGATTCAGTCTGTCAATCAATCTCTTACTAATGGAAAAACGTATCGAACAATGGTGGAATGCTAAAGTCATGTCCATACTTCATAAGTTACTAGCAAATATTTACACCAAGTCTGGCAAAACGCCAGTGATTTAGTTATAAATCGTCAGATAATAGGATCTATATTAATCATCTGTTATAGGTATAGCATCAATGTATATAATTTTGTGATTCAATGATCCGACAAAGAACTAAAGTTGTCGAGATAGCTTAAAAGATCAGAAAACTGAAATGGCAGATCAGGTTTGTCGAAGAACCGATCCTTATTTCTCTCCCCCAGTCCACTCCCAATCCCAAAATCACTGAAAAAGCAAGAGAACGAACTTATAACTCCTCTGATATTGCAGATGTCCATGGCCGTCGCCGTTTGCTTACCATCAGGTAATCAGTCTACTTTTAGACATAAATCCAAGTCATTAATGAGTTGATCTTTTAAATTTCCTAGTGATTAATGATTATGTGGTGGTACCTATGTTATAGACAATATTAAAATAAACTTACGGATATAACAACGAGTGCATTGCCAACAGCGCCGATGACTACCAGGATACCATAAAACGTGAGAAGTAAGGCCCTCGTCGTGTCATCCACTTTCTTGTTCTGGGAAAACTTTTCTAAGAGTACTGTCGGGTCCTGAATGCCTTTGGAAGCTTCTATCAGCCATTTGGCTGAGGCGTTGAGGGTGAGGTTCTGGTTGGGCTCCAGCCCCTGTAACAAAAGAAAGTTCTTCTTAAGTAACTGAGCCAATTCCTTATTTTTTTGTAATAAAATTTCAAACCGTATATTTTTCATTGTGTTTTATTAATATAATCACAAAGCATAGAAGAAGAAAACTCGATCGTCGTACTTTCAAAAACAGATTTCAAAGAGCAGTTTGGGATATCATCTTGTACACGAATTCAGATTTATTGTAATTAATACTTAGGAAGTACAAAATATTGTATACATATACAAGTCAAGAAACTAAATAGTATAAAACGAAGTCGCTTTCTCAGTCCCTATGTTTGCTGAAATCTTTAAAATTACACAACGGATTTTGATGCGTTTTTTTATAGATAGAGTGATTGAAATGGTAAATAGTTAGGTAAGGCTAATTTAACAGTCGGATAATAGAAGTCGGTTAAATAGCAATAAAAGATAAAACTACCAACTTTATTACAATTACGGTCTAATTTCGCATAATACTTGTAAGTCGATTTTCTCTTAAACACAACTGTTTAAAACATCCTATTCATCATAGAAAAATAAACTTTATCTAACTATTACTTGTACTACAATAACCATTAAGAAACCTCTATACAACAAATAAATAGAACGTCAGTCTACTTGGTGGCGGTCTTAAAATGGCGTCGCATTTACATATAAACGATAAGTGTCATAATCTGAATAACAGCTCTTCATATTGGAGACGTTCACAATAATATTATTAAGTTATGGGATCCTAGTACTGACTGCCTCGATTGAACACAAAAAATATCTGTCGGATAAGAGGTCCTAAAAAGCAGATTTCAGCTTATTTATCGTTAAGATTTTACTGCCTGACTATCACAAATACCTTTTTTTATGTAATAGATCGGCAAACGAGCAGACGGATTACCTGATGGTATATCAGCGCCGCCCATGGACACCCGCAACGTAGGAGTTACGAGTGCGTTGCCGACATTTTAGAGATTAGGGATTTGGAAATTTAGGGATTGAGGAGGGATTGGGGGTGGGGAAGGATTGGGCCTCCGGTAGCCTTTTTAATCTACTAAAACTAGAAAATCAATTATTTTAAGATTGTCTGGAAAAAATCTATTTAGGGATTTGTGTATGCATATCAAAAGAATCAATCCCATTATTATAATGTAGGATATCACCATCATCATCGTCATCAGCATATAAATACTAACTGCTGACCAAAAGTCTCTTTTCAAACGGATAAGGATTTAGCAATTATCAACAGACACGCTCTAGGCGTATTGGTGAATTCAAACTTACGATTAGGAATTATGGTTTCCTCATGATATATATTTCTTTACTAGTCAGTGGTATCTTAAAAACTTGTGAAAGTGACACATATATAGTTTACTAACTTTTGCCGCGACTCCGTTCGCGTGGAAATTTGACTTTCTGCAGATTTTTGGTATAAAAACTATCCTATTCCTTTCTCGAGTTCTAAGCTATGTCTGTACGAAATTTCACAGAAATCGGTTCAGTTGTTTAGGCGTGAAGAAAAGATAGCCAGACAGACAGACAGACAGACAGAGTCACTTTCGCATTTAAAATATTAGTTTTCGATGTAAATCAATATTTAATGTATCTGGTTATAACAGCCCCTGACTTTCTGTGAGCAAAGAAGGAAAGGGTTGGACCAAGTCTTTAGTGTTTTGACATTAGTTTTAAGGAGTTGCTTACATATACAAAGATCTTTCCAGATTATTTTACAGGCTTTAACTAGGAATATGCATAGTATTTAGATATGTATAAACATATATGGATAAATGTTAGTGAAGTGTGTAATCTGCAAGTGAAGCAGTAACTGCAACCGATTGAGCTGAAATTCGATACACGAGTTTAGTTTGCATGTCCATAAATGCACTCCCACTTAGTCTGCTCACCACAAATCACTTAGTCTGAATTTCTAAAAAGTGTCTTTAAAATATGTCTAAAATTTTTCTTAGGGACTGTTTGGCTCCTTTACTTTTTTAGCAACTGCCATTAGATATACTATGTAAATTGAATGAAAATAATAACTCTATTAACTGAGAAAATCAGTCATATTATGCGTAACGCTTCGACGTGCCCGCCATACATAAATAATGGCCCGGATGTGACAAGAAACTAGTAGAGCGTCGTTCAGTTAATTCACACGAGTAAGTTTTTAATTTCAATAATTCATAGATGTTATTTTTCACAATAAGATGAAAGAGCTTACTAAGCACCTGATCTGAGTGGTGGTGGTGACCCGGAGGTTAAGGCGCCCGCTTCTCATGCATGAGGGTGTGGGTTCGAAACCTGGCAAGTACCAATGTGACTTTTTCCGAGTTATATGTACTTTCTATGACTACAATTATAATATTTCTCAATATTATAATTGTAGTCATAGAAAGTGGAACATCAGCAAGCAATTTATGCTTTTATGCAGTATGAAAGTGCACCCAAGGAAAATCCACTGTTAATGCAGGACTACTGTCAGAAATTATAAGGTTATGAGTAGGATTACTTCTGATATTCTTATCTTCCGTTATTATTCGACTATCTAAGTACCCGAGAAATGGAATAATAGCATATACATATATACTGATACATACAAACTGTTTTGAATATTGCTTAAAGTCTAGTACTATACGGACTCTAAATGTGCCTGATTTAACAAACCGATGCAAATTTTTATATACAGCAGAACCGCTTTTTTCGAAGTTCTGGCAGTTTGTTTAAAAAAAAGGTTAGACTGAATTAAGTAGGATATCCGTGGGCAAAATTTGGAAAGGACTACGTACAAGGAACTTATAAAAAGTGTTTGAATCTCATTTGATTTTTATTACTTCTTTGTTAGTTCACACCATTTTGGGGCGACTTTGTCATTTTTTTCAAAGTTTTATCCAATACTCCTTAAAGAAATTAATCGTTTTTAACAGTTTTAAGAGCCAGTAAGATGAATGATACCATACTTGTTTTAGCGTAATTTGATATTAATATCATCGCCTACACTATTCACAATTAATAAGAGATCTTTAATTCAAATTCGATTCCATAATATTCTTAAAAAGAAAAAAAACATTTGTGGTTAAAACATATAACGCTTTCGTTAATCCCACCCCATTCTATGCTTGAATAAACTTTATGTGTGTGTAAGTCTATAATTCCCACATAACTTCAATAAACGAAGCTAGCAGAGAGAACATCACACGTTTCTCGTTAAGAAAAGCAATTAATTCTTTGCCCCACATAATCGAGTGTTCCAGCACTTTCAAAGACCCGTTTATTACTTTCCAGGTTATACTGTCATTTGAGTGGCTAACATTAATACAACTTCACGTTTTCCGTGTTAAACCACCCACTACTTGTGCCACAGAACGGTTGCAACTCAAACAAGATGAAGAAATGTTTTTCAATTTTCTTTCCTTATTCTGGTTGTAAATCTGTCACGTATCCCCGTTAGGTGTGGGCCTTTGATTTCAATTGTTTTCGATTTTGTGGTGAATTTGTTTCTTTCTCCTAGTGAAGTTTTATGTTTTGAAGGTGACATTGAAAGAGGTTTAAGTAGCTTGTTGAATAGTGAATAAAAGTTATTTATATAAAGAAATGTATAAATCAGAGGCCATTGAAAACACGTAACAGGAAAGGTCAGCTTTAAAGGATAATCTTGACCTTTTGGTTGATGTTAGTTATTTATTAGTAGGAGATGAAACAAAAGGGATCGCTGAGTGTATTTTCGTCTTGTGAGAGTCTTACAAAATTATGTATGCTTCTACGAAATGGCTTACCCTTATTGTTCATCAAACTTGGTACTCATTATATCAAGGTCAGTTAGGAGTGTAACCGCAATCAAGAATCGAGAGAAGGGACGGGGTAGTTTTAATTCAGTAAGAGTCTGACACTCCCTCACGCTGCACCTTGGGCAGAAGAAGTCGTTTAACGATAGTCTCCCTTCAAAAAAGATATTATATTTCCTTCTTTTTCTTTACAATTTCATATTTAAAAAGCCAAAAATACTCCAAATAAAATATACAAGTCCCTGATTCTTAGTTCCTCCTTAACTACTCGTACCACAAAATTCAAAATTATTCAGTATAACTACAAGATTAACAAAGTTTCTAACAACGTTTAAAATAAAATCCCAAGTGGATTATTTGTTAAACGACAAAAGAGACTTCTGTACATGAAAAAACTTCACTTCATAATGGTCTAAATTATTCAAACCGAAACCGGGGTCCGACAAAAAAGGGAATCACGTCTTTCAGTACAAAATTTTGAGGCTATTATATTTAATGGATCCCAAGCCGACTAAGGTAACGTAGGAACGGAGTAAAACGATTTGGGTGAAAAATCCTCACTGACTGATCCCATAATTATCGAGATGTCAGGTGGAAAAAAGCTTTATGTCAGGTTGGTGGAAAGAGAGCAATTTGTTAGAATTAGAGCAATTATTGGGGTTTTTACTTGAAGCAAATGTCGAGGGATTTTGGAAATGTTCAGTGGTTAACAGAAATTACAATTGCTTTGTCATTGAACTTTTGTCTACAACTTTCCGTTACATTATGAAAAAGTCTTTTAGGATTAGGTTTTATGTATTATTTTTGGAGCATTTGAGTAACCTGTTGAGTTAGAGATGTTGGTTTTGCCTCTTGACTTTCACATATATTATTATGATTCACCGTTTTAAAATTCAATGTAAGTACCAAATGAAGATTATTGTAAAAGGCGTTAGATCAAAAAGCATTTTAGAGTAAATATTTTCACTATAAAAAAAACCAAGCTATTTACATAATTATTGTTACGATCTACCCAAATTTGCGATCAACAACAGACCTAATAACACCGAAAACAAAGCTGCTAATGTAAATTTTGATTACACTGAGAAATATAAACCAAAATCAATTCGATAAACTTCAAACGGATCGGTGAAACTCTCAATTAACGAACAGACAGAAACAATTAATCTTAATGCTACAATGAGTTTCGCTGTAAAGGTATCGTATTAATTGCAACTCAATTTTCATTTT